TGGCCTGGCGATGGGCTTACATATGGCAATTTAACCCATAACTTTAACTCATTCTTTTTGAGACGAACGATAATGCGAAATAACAATAACATGAGTGTGTAATCAAGAAGCAAGCACATTCATAACTATTCGATAAAAATATTTCAAAATACTTGAACTAAAACTAGGGTAATTTTTCTATTCAAAAGAAAACACCAAACAAAACAAATGACAACGGACACATTATCAACACGAAACATGAAAAAATAGAATAATAATTCCTTATTTATTTCGCCCATGTTATGAAAAAATAAATCACACATAAAATTGATAAATATATAAATAAGACACCGTACACCGACGCAAAACAAAACGAGGTAGGGAGAAATGAAAAAAAAAAAAGAAAAGAAAAGAGTATTATAACAAATAAAGTTTCATATATCAAATTCTCAATATCTCATGGTTTATTAGTCGCCTTCTTGTATCGTTACTGGTTTGCACATTTTCAAACGTGACTACCTATTGCGGGTCATTGGTTTARGACAATAACTCCCTTTTATGAAAGAGGTCCAAGGACATGTTGTCTATATTGCGGTCAATTAATCATAGGTTCTTGTATCAGTAAAGCTATAAGCGTTTTGACGGTGTCACCTGCTACGCCTTAATTCTCCTCTTCCTCAACTATTTCTCCTCATTAATCTCCTCGTTCTCCTCTTCCCCTCCCTTCTTCCTGTTCTCCTCTCCACTTCTCTTGTTTTCTTTAATTATTGCGGTATACAAAATTCAAAATATCGAAGAGTTGTTCGTTAAGTCAGGCCACCATTGAATGTCAAACTCAACATCCTTAGCGAATGAACGTGTCCCTTTTATATAAAGTAAAAATAGAAGGGAAAAACCGCGAAGGACCGCTTTGAAGTGCGGAAGACAACCAACAAAAATTTCTATTCATATACATATAGATCTTTAGCATCAGCTTTACTTGGAATCAGGGCCCGAAACACGCCCGCAATCACGGAGAAAMACTCAGTATCAATAAAATTCAATATGGCGGCTCATCCAGCAATGAATTTGTTATTATTACGTTATGCTAAAGAAAACGCCTAGCGTCGAACAAGTCGCAGTAGAGAACGTCGTGCTATAAAGGTCACTATTAGCAGCGTACTCAATTCTACTAGTGCGGCTAGTGCCGAAAGGGAGGGTCTGGTATCTCTGTGTGATTATAATCAATTAATGAATAAATACTTTTYCTTTAACATAGGTTCTGTCTGAAACATCACTATGGCAAAGGCTCTGATAATAGCGGTTATCTTGGTAACATTCTTTACGGAGTATTCTCGTAAGTATGGTTGCATTTATCTCTAGACATTTATTCGAAATTCAAACTTTGTTTTGGTCTTCAACTTCAAGATGTGTTGGTATTTGGATAGTTTGTAGTTAATTGACATGATAAAGAAGACTTATTGGGTGAAAGACTTTCTGATTAATTCCATCCACCAAGACGAGTACTGCAGATTTGAAAACAAGGAATAGAAAACGTCTTGCTTAATCTCAGTTTTAATATGGTATTGCGCCGTTCACTACTCATCATGATCCACGGATGATCGTGAAAGGACACATCGTCGCTTATAAATATTTTACTATAAACGAAGGGTATTCTGTACTTACAAAGAAATGATGGTACTCTGCGCCTTCACAGACTCGAATCTACACAGCTGTCAGCCAAAGATAACACCCGTAGTATCTTGTCTTTCTAATTTCTAATGTTATAACCTTCCAGTCTGTAGAAAAGAAAGGAAAAATAGTGAGATGGGAAATGTTCAGCGAGTAGACAACCAAGCCAGTGACGAAGAACCGAGTAAATATTTTACTCCTAACGAAACTCTGGAAAAGAAACAAAAACAGTCCTTCAGTCCTACCGCCCAGGATGACAAGACTGCGACGTCAACCGAAGCAAGATTATCATCGGACAAGAGAAAGGATCTGCTTGGAAAAGGTAAACATGAGCTTGAATTGAAATAAAGTGCGAAACGATGAAAAAAAACCGTCTATTTAAAATAAAAAATTTTCTTTCATTAGTCATTAATAAACCTAGGAATCCAGAAGCAAAGTCAGTCGTTCGTCAGGATGTAACGGCGTCGAAAAGGGTGGCTCCGGCTGCAGCAGGCTTGCTAACAAAAATCGCGGGAAACGAGCAAGTCCAAAAGGCTGTACTCGAAAAGGGGATTGAAGTGGCGGGAAAACTGGTTGATAAACAACTAAAAAACATCGAAGAAGCGCAGGAAAAAGCTTCAGATTTTCTTAAGAAAGAAGTGAGTATAATYCACTAAAGTTTGTTTTTGTAGAAGGCCTACGCTGCTTAGCACGAAATAACCAATCGCTATCGTTTTCCAACAAGCCTCTCATTGCTTTGTTTTGTCTATTGTAACTATTGTTTTTTTTTTTTTTTTTGTTTTGTCTATTGTAACTATTGTTTTTGCCTTTGTATTTTGCAAATAATTGATAATTTATCTATTCTTAGATCAAATTAGACATCACCCCAGACAAGGCATGGGCGACTGAAGATATGTTTATTCCACCGGGTTATCACATCAATGCTAAAGTTGAAGGCGGAAAAAAATCTGACGAGTCTAATGACCCACAGCCCTACACCTACCCAGCAGGCATGGGGAGTATGATCATGAATGGTTGCTGGGGAACTGGTTACCAGCAGGGAGACCCTTGTTTTAAGTCTCTTAAAGCAGCRAAACTATGCAAGGTGAGTGTCATTTTTTCCTCTCAGTATGAGTATTATTTCCAACGCCTCTGACACTGCTAATTGCAACTGATAGAGAATTGCTTGCAACAGAAATTTTTATTTCTGGCAAGCCCCCTAATCAATATTTTAGACGTACCTTACTTTTTTCAGAACATGATTGATGGTGCTGCATTTATTGGTGTTGGTTTTGATGGTCGTGGTCAATACAGCCCTGAGTCCAGGAAGATGAGTATCATCCAGAGAAGCTGTGGTGGACATTCATCGTAAGTCTGGGGATCACTGAAAATAAAATTCAAGATAATATTATTGTAATGAGTAGTGGTTTAGAAAAACATTTTAAACGAAAAATCAGAGACAAAAAAATTGGACGTTGTTTCGACGACCTCATTTYGTCATTCTCAACAAAATTTATTAACTCTATGTAAACGCTGAGTAACATATGCATGTWGTTGAGAATGACGACATGATTATTATTAAAATTATTATTGCATTAACTATCCRCCCTAAAAACCTTATTTCCCATCACTCAGTACTTTGGCAAATTATCAAAATAGCTTTTTACCCTCCATACAGTTATGATGAYCTTCAAGTGCCAGACACGATGAACGTGCACGGGATCTATGACACTACAGCAAGTATGACCGTATTTACGTCACGATCTGAGTATCAAAAGTATTTACAAAATGAAGCAGSAGTGTCAGGTTCCGTTTTGGGGTTCTACGCTGGCGTCAAGAGTGCTTGGGGAAGCTCCGAAAGCGGCGCAAAACAAACTAATCTTGCCATCTTTGATATCGATGTGGACAGGTACCTTACATTTACTACTTTCCTTTTCTTTTTCCTAGTTCGTCTAGTTTTTTCTTTTGATAGTTTGTTTGATTTTATAACTGAAAACTCTCCTAGATACGAGATCTTTCAAGACGAAGTCAAGCCACAGGATTTGAGCAGAAACTTCTTGAGAGAGTTCGTTGGTCTTCCACTTTCGTATTTTGCCCCTGGTGCTCCAGCTAAATTTCGTGAGTCATTATTTACATTTCACAAATTTGAACATTCATTTAGGAACCTTTTCCAGGTTCGTGTCCTGCATGACATACTATGTAACCCACTTTCTTAACCACGAGCAAGTCTTACCCCACCCCATCCCCTATATAACAAATGGTGTTTTAAATCWCGTGGCAAATCAACAAACAAACTTTGTGGTGTCTAATAACCGGTATTCGTCATTGAGTAAATGCGAAAAAGGGCCGGCAATGTAATGTCACATAGGCTCCTGCGAACGGTTTTAGCTCTTTCATCAGAGGGCTTGTTTGACATGATCCCTTTCTTTGTATTAGAGGACTTTATTCTCCGGTGGGGAACTCACTACATCAAGTCTGCCAGGTTTGGTGGTCAACTGGAACTGCGGAAGACACAATTGGCAAGCATGACCGCCAGCAAGGAAGAATTTGCCGAAGAGAGCGAAACTGAATTCAAAAGTCTGTTTTGGAGTGCAGGAGCAAAATCAAGCACCAAATCTGGCAGCTCGTCCAAGTCACAGCAGAGCTACACGTCGTCATCTGTAGTTGTGCAAGGAGGAAGTCAGAGAATAGCAGCGGTTATTTCTGATATGTATTCACCTACTTTTAAGACCCAGTTTACGGTAAGYAACATCATCCAGGTTATGCGGGGCAATAGATGAACGGCTGACTTAACAATAGTACCAATGAGTAACATACGACCTCCTTACAATAAAAGTACAAAGTGCTTCTTTTTTTCATTTTCATTTAATCATATATTTTATAATTGTTTACTCCAAGAGCCATAAAGGATCATCTAGGGAGATCACGAAGTGATTYTCCACAGGCTTTATATGAAAACAATGTTTTTTGTTGTGGTTCAGGAATGGCTGGAGAGCATACCCACCTATCCCAAGGCCTTCAAGTTCCTCATGGGATCTATCACTGATCTGGTGGATTTTCGTGCCAACGACTTGTTTCCAGAGGAAAACATAGACTGGGGTTGCGAAAAGAATAAATTGAATCTTACACTAGACGAAAAATCTCAAAAAAGTTACTATGTTTACAACAACAAGCGTGTTTACTGTGAGTTTGCCAGTCGGGAGGAGATGGACTATAGCTTGAAACGCAAACGCGTGAGCTTAAAGAGGGCGATTGAAGTGTACATGGAAGAGGTAAGTTTGTATTGACTTCAATGGAAATGCATGTTCATATTTCATGAGAGAAAAAGTCGAATAGTAGAATCAACCTAGYGATGATTCATACTTCAATCGAGAAGATTACCATTACTGTAATGATCTACTTCTTRTTATTGCAGATGATGCATGTATTATCTATTGATACTAATTAGTACTAATTATACTAATTGTACTTTTTCTTAATTGTTGCTGGCTGATCGCTGTCACTGTTGCTGTATACGCTGCAAACTTGAGGCATCAATAAAGCCTTTCCGTCTGCAGTTGAATCTTTTTTTAAAAAAGATAGTTAGCTACAATGCACGCTGCGCACCTATATTATTTAAATCGTTCGCCTACATCGTTCTTGAAGCTCTTCCATGCACTGGTAAGTTGGAATTTCTGCAAATTTGACGCTGTGCCAAGGTTTTCAAATTCCCAAAGTTTCCGATCCTTCCTTTCATTCAATAGCAAATAGACTGAATGTTTCAGAGAGATTTTCTTTAGTATAACATGATGAATTTTCGTTTGTCCAACTGTTAGACATTACGGCTTTCGAAATCACCTTAGATTTCTTGCCAAAATTCATAACATCTTTCTTCAAGTGAATATGTATCATTACATCATGATGATCGTAAAACATCTAGCAGGAATAGCAATTAAAAGACCAATGGAACTGGATTTCCAAACTTCACCTAAAAAACCGTCATTTTGCCTAGCAGAGAAAATGGGGTATTGTATATCAATGCATTGTTTAATAAATATATGATTCTTCTTTCAATTCCAAGGGTGCAATGTCTATATCAGACGTCAGTCTTCCTGCTGGAAAAGCTGGTTGTGAAAGTAATGATCCAAGATATCAGTCGGCAACCAAGAGGCCATCTTGGGAGGAGATKACAACTCAACGKAAACGTTTTACTGTAATCTTCGACATGTTGAAAGATATGAAGGGGGCTGTTGAYGATGGTATTGACATTCCTAAATCCATGTCAAGAAGTGTTCAATACAGGTAAAAGTAACATCTGTGATGTGTTTTCAGCTGAATTTATGGTAATGATAAAGATAGCATCATTCGGTTGAACAAAACGCAGCTTGGCATATACCTAAAAGTACACTATAGAGTATCTCCGTGATAAGGAACGGCCCGGAGACCCGGAGGAACGGATTCTGAGGTTATAGCAACTATAATGACATAATCTTTACGTTAAACAAATAACAGCTTGCAATTAGGATATACATTACCTTAGTATTCATCTCGTATGCTTGACTAATTTACCATAATATCCTTGATGCTTCACAGAATGATTAGACCTAAGTTATATTGGTGAATCCCAACAAATTTTAACATTTATAAGCATGGATGATGCATACCGCTTAAGCAACGCACTGCCGGTTTGTACCCTTGGTTCCAATCTTTGAACCCTCAAGCCTTTTTGAGCAGAATTTTTTATTCTAGGTTGTCTTAGTAGTTGTGAACAGCTTTCTCCGACAAAACAAGAGTATTTGTCTTTTGCTTCTAGCTACCGATATGCTCCAACAAATCATATTTATMTACCTAGATGAGCTATCAGTAGTTCTTACAGAGAATAATGAGAACGGATATTGTAAATAAATAAATAATATATATGATATCACATTTTCGCTATTGAATRTCCAACTTAAGTCTTAACTCTTGGAAGGGCAATTATTAATCACTTGAAGTTCTTTTCAACTAGTGAAGAGCAATGGTACACGGCAGACGAAGATGGAGACTTTCACATGTACGATGGCTTCAGCAATGGTGGTAGCGGTAATCTTGAAAACAAAAAAATTTCTATATTTGGACTTGTCTTGACTTATAACGAGGCCAAGGGTAGTCTCATTTTAGACAGTGCAGACTATGCAGAATCCAAAAAGTACTTTCCCGGACTAAGCGAACTTTTAAAGKGTAAAAAGCTTGCTCGCGCTGAATGGCCAGTTCAAGAAGTTTTCAAGGAGCGTAGTAATMGGAAAAATGGAAATCAAGTTGGGCATTTACCATGTAACGTTCAGTGGTCCAAYGGGCTCAGGTTTGACCCAAGTGACCGTGATGGCAAGTGCCTTCATTTCACAGCTTCYACMAAAGGWRCTCTRTAYGTAGTTTTCTCGGCGGTTCCCAGTAACAAGGACACGTGGTATTACCTTGAGATTTCACCATTTGGAGTTGGTATCTACAAGGTAAGTTGTATGAGGCTTTAGTAGTGATGTCTAAAGCTGCATTTACTGCGGTTTTCGATATTYAACACCTCACCTTACATYGCATTCTATAGTCTAAACTATSAAGCCTTTATCATTTAAGTCTCAACAGCTCAAGGTATCTACTGTCAATACCAATGCTGTAGCCTTAGGAGACGCCCTCTTGTACCAGTCATACTTTGTCTGTGTTACTGAGTCACCAACAAGTACCGTCATTGAGTATGGCAAGTCCCAGGGCACCACCGACAGTGGWGATGTCTACTTGACAATGATTGATCACGATAAACCGATTCATGCTCGCTTTTATTCCTTTGCTAATGGCGAAGAACCAGCACAAGTTGTGGATTCCCATGTGATATCGCGTAGATTAACCACAGCAGAATGTAAAGGAGATACGTACAGAGATAAGGAGGAGCCAAACTGTGTACAGAAATGTCACGAAGCTTGTGCCCCTTTAGCAGGTGATACATTCTCATAACAGGGCTCAATTTTCAAATGCCTGAGCATCAGTTCGAGACACKTTGTGTACATTTTGAAGATATTTGGCTTAACTTCAAACATGTTTGGCATACCATCTAGTTTAGCAAGACAAAAAAATATATCAAACTTATATGTCTCTGTACTGTTATATAAACAGGTTGGGTGCTGTAGAGMACRAGATAAGCAAGCTTTACGCCGAATGYTTCTCTTATTTTGCGAGTGCTCTGCATCTCGCAGAGTGTGGCCAGGCAAACAGCACGCGGATCATATCTCAAATATTTCATGAATATAAATATCAAGTAACCCCTCTTATTTGATAGCCCCTCCCTAAATTATGGCTGAAATAATCAACCCTCTACATAGCTATATCCCCAACCAATAAGTTATGCAATGTCCCCTAGTTTTTTCTGCATTCTAGAGTTGACCAAACGTCCAAACTAACTTTAAATGATAACCTAAAAGATTCTAAACCCCATGAACTGTTTTTAGGCTGTCAGTACACGTCGCAAGGTAAGCCAAAGGCATCTGAATGTAACGAGTGTCGATATGCAAGAGATCGGAATGGCGTCTGCGTGGATCAGTGTCCCGCTGAAGAGAAACCAAACAAGGACAAATATTGCACCAGTAAGTCARTGCCGTGAGTTCCTTATACTGTTGCATTTGTTTCAGTCAACTTTTCACATTTTGACATCTTTTTCTTGGCCCAATCAAAGTGTCCCACATTTTGATTGGTGGGTCAAACTCAAAAACTTCTTGATTCGAAGTTATACTCCTAGACGTTTGAGTGAGCAATAGAGAACGTTTGCTTTCGATCCGTATAAAGTGAAGTTAGAAAAGATTGAGATTGACCGGTGTCGAGCCTAGTACGTAGCTGTACGTAAAGGGAGTAAAAGTAGAAAGCATTGAAGYCATGGAATCAGCAAAATTCTATTTTGAAAGCCCGGGCATACAGCTGTATCCCGGCCAATAAGATATGTCCCGATGACAAGCAAGCATTGTTGAAGGAGATTTAAAAGAAAACAGTTTCCAAATAGGTAACGCCCTCATAACTATTAGCTCAATATGAGTCATAAAGGGGCACTTGGATTAAAATCGATGAAAATTGGAAATGGCTTGAAACTCGGTTAAACTTATTAATATGGMCMCAAYAGTTGCCAAGCAACATATTGTCTTCAAAGTGGCGAATAAAAATTATCAATCTTATTTAGCATCTAAATTGTGAGTAAAGGACGTCATTTTCTCAACACTATTGTTCTCTCCGGTGCTTTTGAACCAAACGTTTTCAACTGTAAGTGGCTCCCAGGCTATRATTTTTGCCAATCTGTTTTTCATAATCATAAATAAGTCATATCATTCTCAAATACTACAATTACTCGGACTTTTCATCCAAGTGCCGCTATAGATGCGTTGCACCATCAAGTGATAACAGCCATGACAGGGGGCAGAAACAGTTGAATCTGATCTAATCTGATTTACATTAGATAGGATTCAGTTTCTAAGGGTGAAAAGACTCTATTGTCGTGCCTCCTGTCATGGATGCCATCACGTGATGGTGCAAGCCTCTATAACGACTTATGTTTTCCTCTCGCCAAACCCAACGGACATGCAAACAATCAGTTGATTGTTGCTTGCAATAATTGTGTATCTCATTMATTCATTGCCAATAATCAACCACTTCAGTGATTTTTACCCATACTCTCTTTCCAGATGAGCTCCGCTGCTCTCTTTCGAYCTAGTAGCGTAGACTCCCTCGACTTAGGRGAGTGAGCGTGGCGTGACGACACAAATAGCGGCTGCGTAGGAGACTAGGCTCAAGGCCGCTTGCTTCAATTTGTATAAATGACATATTTCTGACATTATTCACTGCGTTGCTTTTATGARTTATTAACAACTCTAATAATATCTATCTATATTATTTCAACAGTTTCGTATGATTTGAGTTTCAAACCTAATACGAAGACCGAACAATCTGTACTTAGTGGTTTCCCGACGATGAACGAGTTAACTCTATGTTTCTGGGCGAAATTCGGAAATATTAAACCATTCTTTAGGTATAATGTATTAGAGTATATCAACAACAACGCAGATAAAGATCGGTTCCATTTGCAAATCCAAGGAGGTGAAGAAGAGGATAAAGTTATTGTTTATTTTTCAGTGACCAAGACAAGGTGAGTGTAGATTATTTAGTACGCTAATTCTACCCACTGAACTTCATGCAATATCATACAGGGAGAAGCTTAAAAGAAAATCCCCTCGCCTTGTCTAGAAACATCACAGGAAGCCCAAACAAGGTTCCTCTGTATGGTTTTTAAGGGAATGTACCATCAGAAGACTGGACAAGGTTTAAGCAAAGAATGCATGCAGCATGAAGTTTTTTAAGCAAATTGCTGATTGAAACAATTTATTGTTATATCTTCATCATGACTCCCATACATTCCCTTACACAGGAACCTTGTTTGGGCTGCCTGTGGAAACATCTTATAGCTTAGATCCGGGGCTTCCTGCGAATTACTCCTGTGTTTTCAGTCTTCTCAGAAAAGATCAGTACTTCTGTCGTAGAACGGCTAAATGAAATTGTTTTCAAAGATCGACAATCTTTTCCTTGTAGTAATAATATTACACCTTTAAGTTATATGAAATACTTTCTTTCTCAGTCTAGAGAAGAGTAGATGATTTATGGACCTAAAAACATTGTATGCATATTTATTAACTCCCCAGCAATGAGGAKGAAGGACGAGGTGTAGAATTCGACAACAAAGACAACGGATGGCACCATTACTGCGTAACTCGAGACAGCAACTCAGGGAAAACGAATGTTTATGGTGATGGCATTAACTCCCACAAGGATCCATCCCTTGAATTCCTAGTTCCAAGAAAAGTACCACAGGCAGGAGGAGAGATGCATTTGGGAGGATTTCAGAAAACAAACTTCAAAGGAGTCATATCAGATCTCAATATCTGGGATAGAATGTTAACGGAGGATGAAATTGCTAAAATGTCTCAGTCGTGTGATGGCAGTAATCGAGGGAATGTGAAGGACTGGAGTGATATCAAAAATGAGCTCACACCCAGTCACTATACTGTCACCAAACCTTCCACATGTAAGGCTAAAAAACGGGTTGATAAGGAATGAGAACAAAAACAACAATAAAAAATCATTTATTAACTCATACTGAACTTGTCGAAAATGTCTGAAAAGGTCCCTTTTCATTCCAAAAYATCTTCAGCTGAAGGAAATTCTTCGAGTATTTGTTATTCCCCTCCTAATCCATTGACTTTTTTGCTTGTTTGTTGATTTATCTAATGTTTGAAGTTTGAAGTTTGGAATGTCAATAGCAAAATTTAAATCCCAGCTTGCTAAAGTCGGTGTATTTSAATATAAGTCGCAATGGCAAAAGAATACTTAAGTTACTTTGTATTAGGATTATCTGAAACCTCAGGCTCTGGCCAGTCCTTAAGGAGATAGTACGATGTAGAATGTATAGCTGGTGCACAATAGAAGAACTTCCTGCAATATTGTAATATCCCACCATGCGTTTCTTTGTGGCCATTAAGATCAAATTTTAGAGGTATTGGAGAACTAGATTTTCTTATGTGACATTTCTGTATGCCATAATAAAAGACGGCAATTAAGAAAAAGTATAGTAAGTGTTTAAAGTAATGCCTCAATTTYAAAGTCGAGAATAAGGAACCGGAGAATAGAGGATAAGCATGAGATAAGACAAACATCTTTGCACTGACAAGAGTTAAAATCGTCTGCGCTTGCTCTAAGTCCGTAAACAAATAAGTCGAAACGTTTTCATACTATCGTAAAAATATGAAAATTCAATACTTCATATTTTCTTTATTAAACAATTATTATTGCCGGTTTAAAAAAGGTATACTCGGAGAAAAGGAATATTTATCTTAGCTCACTAAAACTCTTCTAAATTCTTAGAAAAGGTGTTGAATGCAAAAATGTTTTTTCCCGTAGTGCCGCTTGCACTGGTGTTGTAAGCTAAAACGAGATGACAAAGCTTTTTCCTTGAAGTTCGAAAGTCACGATTGACAGGATAAGTGAATGTATACTAAAAAATAACATACTTACGATACTTCACGAAAGTGTCTGAAATTTTGCAAATTTATGAAGCAAACTGTAGTGTTGTTCAGCAGATTTACCACAATCGCAACTGAATCACAAATGACAGCACCAGCATTCCTGGACGCCGTTTTGATAAGAATGTCAGGTTGTTGCCAACAGCCTTTTGGATATATCCTGAGAGATTTTGTTGTGCTAAACGTGCCTGTCGGTTGAAAGGAAATACGAAACCTATTAATGCAATTCAGGTTGAAGGCAAAATGAAAACAGAAAAAATCATTGAAACATAACAAAACGTAACGAAAATAGGTTTTCTTGTCAAGTCACATAGTTTTGTTTTAAAAAGTTAACTTATCATTCTGGACTCAAAACTGAATCGATCTTGTTAGCATTACTTTGGGTTGAACCGCAAAGCCGATATATTTCTCTTTTGATATCTATATACCTTTTCGGGATGGGTGGAATGTTTTCCCATTTCAGGCCACAGGTCATTGCCTAGAGTATTATTTCTTTGTTTAACGGTTGCGCATGTAAAGACGCATTTATACGGATAGCAATCCCATAGTCAGCTGGAAATTATTTTCTCATTCATTCCAAGAAGAATGAAATTGACTTTTATTCTTAGTGTATAGTAATAGTTTCCTAGATCCGCCGTTGCCTTGATAAATGGTATTTCTTCGTTGTTTGTGGGACCGGCAGCATCTTTATAGTTCCAACTAAAAACCTCTGTGATGTGGCTGAGACTGCATCACTTTAGAACATAGCCCAAGACATTTTGGTTCTTGGCATTACTGGACTCAGAGTTTTATACCAATGAAATAAAAAGATTATTTTACTATTCATTTTGGTCTTGAATTCTTCAGCCCAAGAAAGCGCTACCAAAATTTATCTTTCAATAAGTATTTATTACGATTTACGAAACATATTAAACGACGCAACGAGATATTTTTGGAGTGGTGGAGTGAATACTATTTATAGAACATGAGGAAGGGGAATGTATAGTCTCGAAACAGGTCAGTATTTCTTCTCGTTCCCTAGATGCCATTGTTTTGTATCCCGTCTTGGCAAGAATGTCATCTTCTTCAGCTGTTCATACACTGACACCGACTTCCTGTCTACATTTCTAGTTGCTATCTTTCATCAATGTTTCGTCTATGAGTGGCATGTCCTCGGTTACTTGGGGGTCATTTATTAATAGGTCATTTTAATTGAAAGAGGGGGGATCTTATTCAAGGATCTTTAATAAACCAGCTCACGTTGTTATGGCCTTCATTTAAGTGATTAGTATTTCTGGTATGATCCAACTTTCACAAATCTTAAGGATTTGGTGATGGGGAAAAAGTAAGTATAATAACGGCTGAAGAACAATCATTTTCTTAACGGAAATGTTTAAAAAAAATCGTTTTAATAGGGTTATTTCAAAAAAAATTTCTCATTTATTGCCAATTTTTGATCTTGAAAAAAAAGATACAGTTTGATGTCAAAAGCATTTTCCAAATGAGCGCACTCGGGTACCACAGGTCATTTGACAGGTTATTGAAGCTAAGAGGCGGATTTTCATTATAGACATTCGTTTCTCCAACTGTCATTCACTGTGTTGGTGTTAGTAAAAGTCACCATTTACAGGTATGATTTATGTGGTACGATATTTATTGACTTTATGACTGGAAAACGAATAAAAACTACATTTCTTTATCATGGCCATGGTTAATATTTTAGAAAGCTTCCGCTTTATAAATTATCATTATGGGGTTATTAAGATTGTCAATTATTATAAATAGCGTTCCTCACTAAAGTTATCCTGATCTGCTAGTTCTTTATTCGTTAAAGTTTGATAGGTCTTTAGGTGATTTCCAGGAAATTGATTTTCTAATGAGACACACGACTAAATACTATCAATAATTCATGGAGCAGGTGTATTGACGATTCCAAAACCAAAAGAAATCCTATAACTATAGTCACTCGACATCCGGCACTCTTCAGGTAAGAGACTGGTTAATAGGCTATGACACAGATTGAGGATTTTTTTCTTTTTCTAACATTCCCCTGATTTACATGATAAATAGAGATTTATGCATGTTTAGAGCTTGATATTGTTTTTATTCACGTGTGATATCGTATCACTTCACTGATATGGTTTTTATTCACGGCTTTATTTCACGGATATCGACCCTAAATGTGTAATAAATATCTATACCACTCCCGAATGTACAATACTGATGATTATGCGGGTATTACGTCCTGTCCTTTTTGCTAAATATTATATGTCTGCCAATTTTTGGAAGACTTGGTTTTCCGGTGTTTAAACACAATTTTATTTTTAAACAAAACCATTAAGATGAATTGTTCACTTTGGGATTTCCTGAGCAGCAGTAAGGGGGACTCGCGGAATCCAAGTCACTAAGCATCGAATTTCACGGGTATTACCTGCGTTTCAGGCCCCTCTAAATGTATGCGTCCGCAGCGGGTATTACACACGCGATAATTCCCTTACTGCTGCTGTGTTTGCGAAATCTATGTATTTATAAGAGCATATTTTTGCCCATTGTTTCGGCAACCATTTTCGGCTACCTTTTCTACTCCTGCACGGGTATTCCTCGTAGGCACATTTTTACACAAAGTAGTATTTTTTTGTGCCCTCTGCGCTGGTAGCAACACCAGGAATGTCTGTAGAACACCTCCACATAGTAGCAATTTCCAGATCCCCGAAACAGTGCCCTCGTAGCAAGGGGTCGTAAATCGCGACACCTTTGCATGGAGAAACACCGACGTGGATAGAGAGGAACGATTCGTTCCCCTTCTACTAGTAGCCAAAAACCTTCGACTCCTAGATATACATGGAAGAGCAAAAGAATATTTCGGCAACATTGCAGGAGATGGGTATACGTGCAAAAAATAGGGTGCTAGCACATTTGCTGCTGGACAATGCATACGACGGGAATCTACTGCCCGACATATCCAAGTGCGACTATTTGCGCGGAAACGAAGGTACTACCAGCCTGCAGCCGCTATCCGGGCTACCACCGTTCGTAGACGATGTGTTTGTCTATGGATTTGTCGCAGAGAACGACATGTATGGACGCATATGCAGAAACGCGAAGCCGCTGGTATCCAAAATATCCACTGCGACCCAGGAAGCCTTTGGTACGTTCCTACATGTCCAAATAGTACACAGCTGCAGGCAAGGAAAAATAGTAGATCGCGTCTCCCATATGGCAGCCAAGTGGTCCAGTTTGCATGGAGAACCTGCAGCGGTATTTGTAGCCAAAGTGGACACCTCGGAATTGTCCATAGAAACCGTGGAGGAAAAGATACCCAAGTTTGCTACTTTGTTAGATGCGCACGGATATGGTATCTACTCCGTGGACTACACACAGGATTTCTCCGGAACCTTGGATAGAAAAGCTTTGGTGCGCAGATTGTTGCAGCTGGGCTACGAACACCAGGGAGAACTGGGTGGACGCAAAGGTACTATTTTGGACAATACGCACCAAGTAGGCGGGCATGTTTGCACTTGGATGGAAGACGGGAAACGCACGAAAATATACAACAAGATAGTATCCAACTTCGAGGCCGGAGAAGTGCAGAATCCAGTAGGCGCAAAGTTGGCAGAGTACGTGGATTGTCCCAACGACCACCTGCGTAGGACATTCCTGCACCCAGACGTGCAGAAAAGAGGATGCAGCAGAGTGGAAATATCCATCTATGGTAGGGATTTCTCCAAAGAAAACACAAATGCTATTGCGGAATCCATAGAGCCACTGGCAGACATATTCGTAGTACAACCACCCAAAAATATGTGGTTGGCGCTTGCGGAACACTTGGATAGATGTTTGTGTATTTGCTGCGAGGAAACAAAAGAAATCTTTCTAGCTTGGTACTGCCATGCAACAACGGGGCGCATAGCTGGCATACGCGTGCGAGGCAACGAAAGATRGGAACAGTGCGTACTTTGGACCATAGCAGAGTTTGGCCTGCGCAAATGCCCCATATTCCGCATAGATGTGCGAGGATTGGACCCGGTGGACATAGCACCGCTACGTTGCTACACGAAGGATTCTCCCACGGTGTTGGCGGAGTCTAACAAACCCACCCGCGTACACAAAGATCCTCCTACTATCGCAGATTTTCTCCCAACTACGGAACACGTGGAGTGGGTTTGGCGCACCAAGAAGGCACAAAAGATAGGCATAGAAAAGAGTCTCTTCGGAATACTAGAAGTGCCTACGGACCGCAGGATTTCCTTCCTGTCCAAAAGAAAACGACAGCAAAGATTGGAAGACATACGGGACGACTTGGAAGGAGACGAGTGGGTAAAAGCCACAAGAAGATACCACGCAGAACTGTCGGAGCAAAGGCAGTCCATCCTGCGGCAAAAAGAAGAGGACAGAAAAAGAATAGAGAAAGAGTTGGAGAAGTACAGCAAAACATTGGACAGGATTTCCAGAAGGACAGACAATCTGCGTAGATTGTTCTTTGGAGAGGAAAGCCCGTTTGGCCCAGAGACGCCTAGGGCCAAAGTGCATAGAATGGAGCAAATACCTGCAGGAGACTACAAGATACTAGGATATGCGATCCCCAGAGACTTGGATGCCAACTGGTTGGCAAGAGGGCACCGCGTAGTATTGCGAAGGAATAGAGAAACGTCTGTAGCATGGGCCACAGAAGCCCTATTGGAAGCGTGTGCGGCTGCAAAGTTCGAAGCCAACGGCAACATACGCACTGCCATACCAGGAGAAGAAATATTGGTGGAGTGGCAGAACACTCTTGGAGACGCAAAAGATAGACTGGACATCGCGGCCGCCCTTGTACTGCAAGATAGGTAGAGAAAAGACCACCAAAGCAAAGAAGAAAGACAGACTGGTGCACGTCTCTACTCCATCTCCGGAATTCTAGAATTTCTCTGCGGTTTCGTATCCTCCGCCGGATGTCTGTAGTAGACAACTTTGGGTGGTTGCATGCGCGCCCAAACAATGGCAGCTATGCCTACGACTGCAAATAGCACATTGCCGGCTATTTGCCAGTCTATCTTTTTGTCCACTCCTTCTACTTCGTCGGACAAGTCCTCTACCGCATTTTCCAACTCGGGATCTATTTCCACATCTTTTTGGTCCATTCTGGCTAGCAATTCCTCCTTTGCGTCCCGCAGTTCTTCTCTAGCTTTTTGGAGATCGTCCAGGACTATAGCAAAGGAATCCTGCACTTCTAGGAAATGTTTCTGCAAATCCGTAGTAGGCGGCTTTTCGGAAATTGCTACCTCCAAACCATTCTCTCGCTCTATCCTGCGTATCTTTGGTATGCCTATGCCGTACTTTTTGGCTACCTTCTGCAGTCCTACTCCATTTCGCCTATCTTCTAACAATCCTGCGACTTCTTCCTCGGATAGTATTTTGGGTGTTGCCATATATATCTGTGGATACGGGTTTGCTATGCCTAGATAGCTTGGGGTATTCCGTGGGTCCATAGGTATATAAATGTAATTCTACATAGCTCTAGGCATAGCTAGCTACATGCTAGGAAAACAAAGAACGACGCAAATACTTCTGGAGATCTTAGAAGGTCTCTACAGACTTCGCATACCGGGCTACGTAGCAACTTTGGCACAACTACCGCGACGTAGATAGTAGAAGGGGAACGAATCGTCCCTCTCTTCCTGCGTAGTACAAACTTTCCGAGAGCGGCGTTTCGCAGCCCTTGCTAGGTAGCGGTGTCTCGTTTTGGGGTCCATACRAAAAGAAGAGGTGTTTCGCCTCTACCTACTTCCCTACAGACATTCCTGGTGCTTGCTACCAAAACAGTGGGCACAAAAAAATACTACTTTGTGCAAAAATGTGTCTACGAGGAATACCCGTGCGGGAGTAGAAAAGGTAGCCGAAAATGGTTGCCGAAACAATGGGCAAAAATATGCTCTTATAAATACATAGATTTCGCAAACACAGCAGCAGTAAGGGAATTATCGCGTGTGTAATACCCGCTGCGGACGCATACATTTAGAGGGGCCTGAAACGCAGGTAATACCCGTGAAATTCGATGCTTAGTGACTTGGATTCCGCGAGTCCCCCTTACTGCTGCTCCTGAAAGTTTATAGTTGATATATTTTTCCGCAACAAAAATTGTTAAAAAAAAAAAAAAGAAACTAAAAAAAGTATTATTCAAATTATAGCATCAGTTTAATATCTTTATTTCATTTTTTTAATTAAAAAAAACAAAACAAAACAAAACAAAACAAAACAATTGCATGACGTGCGCGCGCACAAAAACTGCTGAATAATTAGATTGAGAACCAAATGGATACATGTTTTGATCTTCAAGAGGACAAACTTTGCGGGGTACTCTATACTATTGAAAATGAGCTTAATAGAGTATTAAGTAATTAAATACTAATTAGTAGAGTGCAAACAATATATCTGTGAAATATTAGTAATACTAACTTACACTAGTTTATGCTAATTTTATTGTTTTCTTTTGTTTAACTAGCACTATTTTGAACAATTTAACAATTAGTGTTTCACGGATATATTGTTTGTAATGCTATTCGCTGTTATACGCCTCAATATTAAACCAATTGAAATAATTTTGTTTCTGCAGTCTAAAGTGTGTTGCCATGGTGAAGATTCCGATGATAGCGATTAACTTGGTAACATTGCTAATGATTGAATATTCTTGTAAGCATTGGGTTGTATTTTTACAAAATATTTGGATTAAATATATACCAAAACAAAAAGCTAAATTTTCAACCTTTCTCAACGTTTGTTTCTAGATAGTAAAAAAGAGATCAAATACAATGGATCGAAAACCCATCAATACAACAATCAAAGTGACTTGCCCTTACACCGCAGTGTTCTTGGTGCAGTCAAGAATCCAGTCTCGTCAAAAATAACCAGAAGTTATTTGAAACAAGAGAAAACAAATCTTCTCGGAAAAGGTGAATCTTGTTGCTCTCTAAAGCAAAGGGCAAAGCCCAAGATATTTAAAGAAAAAGTTCTTCTAATTCAAAATGAAAGGAGTCCAGATATGATATTTTACCATTATATAATTATTAGAACTAGAATTGTAAAAACATAGAGGTCCTGACTACACATATATTTAAGCTTCCCTATAGGTCGGCTAATGAAAGAAGATTCTTTGATTACTTTCAAGGCTATGAATCTTCAAACATAATAGCACAGTACAGTTATGTATGTAAAAATCTAAAAATATTCCGATGGTTTAGCATGGTATGTCCTCTTATTCACAACGATATGACGTCAATTGTTGGTCAAAATGTTATCTACTCACAAGACGTAGCTAAAAAAAGGCGAAAAGTTTTTTAAGAAAAAATAATGTCAAGCGCGGCGCTGGTTGCGTTCGTGAATTTTGTTTTAGAATTAAAATAAATAAAAATCTTAACTAATACCTTTTATTTCACATTCCTTTTAGGTTTTTTTTTCTTGCTTCAGTAATTCAAACGACACTTTCGAAGGATTCAGAGCAGAAGCCAGAAAATCCTAATAGCGTGACAGGATCGAAAAGGGTGGCTCCGGCTGTAGCAGGCGCGCTAACAAAAATCGCGGGAAACGAGCAAGTTCAACAAGCTGTGGTCGATAAGGGAATTGAAGTGGCGGGGAAACTGGTTGATAAACATCTGAACATAATTGACGAGGCCCAAGACAAAGCTTCAAATTTTCTTAAGAAAAGAGTAAGTCTTTGTATAAGTCGACATTGGAGTGCTTCAACATGGGCTTTCATGCTTGATTGAGAGACTTTTATCGTATATGGTATTTCATGTATGGGATCACCAATACCTTTTGGTGATAAATATATTTTGGTAGAAATGCTAGTCAGTTCACTACTCAACAATGTTGAGAATCTATATTACTATATCTCTTGAACGTGGCCTAATAGAGACTGCTGGCAACGACTTATGCCATTACACTTTTACCAATTATTTGATTAGGGTGTACAGAGAATTGTCACTTTATCTGTTAAACGAGAAAGATCAATCATAATAATCGTTTTTGCTACGCATTTGGCAAGCCTCAATAGACGCTTTTCGAGTTCCAAATTACCGCTGTGTTCCTTGATTACAGACTCATTAACTCAGGCTTAGCCTCGCATCAGAGTTTAAATATTCACAAATACCAACGGTAAAGTAAAGAATGCACAACTCCAATAATACAAACGCTTTGAAATTCGACGGACCTAGACTGAGACACGTGAATATTCTACACAAAATCGAGGATTAGCCTGAGTAAATGAGTCTGTCATCAAGGAACACAGCGGTAATTTGGAACTCGAAAAGGGTCTGTTCGTTTACAAACAGACATATGTATATAAAATAAACCATTGCATCAAACATTCTCATACTCATTAATAATTCATGAGTAAACCAGCCAATCAATGGGTTATTTTTGGGTCACATGATGTTACTTGAAACCTGGTAAAGTRCTGTGAAAGGAATGCATTCAGTCTGGAGTAACTGGAACAAAATTAATTCAGTCCTAGTAACTGGAACAAAATTAAGGACTGAATTAATTTTGTTCCAGTTACTCTAAGTCGAATAAGTAATGAGATGAGAAGTCATTTCATTTCGGCTGCGCCTCGGACTGGAACTAATTGCTTAGACTTGAAATCCCGTCCAGTCCTCATTCTCGGCTTTGAAATATTACGTAAAAAACCGTTTTCTTCCTGGATTAGATTGAACTGGATATCATGCCACAAAAGGGTTGGAAGACAGAAGATATGTTCGTTCCACCGGGATACCAGATTAATGCCAAGGTTGAAGATGAAAGTCCATCGAGTTCTCCGGAAAATCCTCCCCCAGCATATAATTACCCAGCAGGCATGGGGAGTGTGATCATGAATGGCTGCTGGGGGACTGGTTATAAGAAGGGGGACCCTTGCTTTGATGCTGTGGAGGCAACTGGCCAATGCAGGGTAAGTTGTTGCTTTGTAACACGCTTTACCTGACAATTATCCATATTATAAATGTTTTACTTGTAAATAAATCCTACCTCGCTAGACCAAAATAGACCATTTTCGAACTATTTGTCAAAAACCGCTGTGTTCCTTGATTACAGACTCATTTAAATAGAGTTAGCCTCATTTCTGTGTCCAAATATTTACAGATTTCAACGGTAAGGTAAAGAATGTACAACTTCAACAGTACAAACACTTTGAAATTTCACTGTGAAAATGAGTGACTTTCAATTATTGAAAAAATAAAGAATAGAAAGAAATAATAAAGAAAGCAGTGATAAAAGGCGTTGGTATTGTGAATAAAGTACTGGCACCTCCAGTAGGGATTATACTCAAGTCAAATCCAACGAATAAAGTACTGGTACCTCCAGCAGGGATTATACTCAAGTCACATCCAAGGAATAATGTACTGGCACCTCAAGTAGGGATTATACTCAAGTCACATCCAAGGAATAATGTACTGGCACCTCCAGTAGGGATTATACTCAAGTCACATCCAACGAATAAAGTACTGGCACCTCCAGTAGGGATTATACTCNACCTCCAGTAGGGATTATACTCAAGTCACATCCAACGAATAAAGTACTGGCACCTCCAGTAGGGATTATACTCAAGTCAAATCCAAGGAATAAAGTACTGGTACCTCCAGTAGGGATTATACTCAAGTCAAATCCAAGGAATAAAGTACTGGTACCTCCAGTAGGGATTATACTCAGATCAAATCCAAGGAATAATGTACTGGTACCTCCAGTAGGGATTATACTCAAGTCAAATCCAACGAATAAAGTACTGGCACTTCCAGTAGGGATTATACTCAAGTCACATCCAACGAATAAAGTACTGGCACCTCCAGTAGGGATTATACTCAGATCAAATCCAAGGAATAAAGTACTGGTACCTCCAGTAGGGATTATACTCAAGTCANGGAATAATGTACTGGCACCTCCAGTAGGGATTATACTCAAGTCACATCCAAGGAATAATGTACTGGCACCTCCAGTAGGGATTATACTCAAGTCAAATCTAAAGAACTAACGTGAAATATAATGCGTTTTTGTTGTAATGGTATCAGGTGATAACTTGTGTATTTGGAAACAAATCATGGATGATTTAATGAAATCGCGAAATTACTGAAAGTGACTTAAGTATGATACAATTGAAACAATCGCCGCAGATTAAAGTTTCGTGAAATATGCCACCTTCAAACTCGCAAAATTAATGTCGGAAAATTGCACATAATAAGGTAATACTAATTAAATGAATGTCGAGCGTTTCGAATATAAAAAGCGCGCGCATGTCTCTGTACTGTGATATAAACACGCTGGGAGCTGTAGAGCAAAAAAGAAACAAGCTTAGGTACCCGAGAATAGAAGCCTAGAGTTTCTCTTGCTTCTCGAGTGCTCTACAGCTCCCAGCGTGTTTTTTAATAACAGTACAGAGACATAAGCATCCGTTGATATAAACACTGTAGCCAGCCAATCAATGCGCGCATTAAATTTCAAATATTTTATCATTAGATTTATATATTTAGAATTATATTTACCTGTAAAACAAGGTTAACCTTTTGTTGTTTCATTTTTGTATGATTTATATATTTTCTTATTTCTTTGTCCGCTTTTCCAGAACATGATTGATGGTGCTGCATTTATTGGTGTTGGTTTTGATGGTCGTGGTCAATACAGCCCTGAGTCCAGGAAGATGAGTATCATCCAGAGAAGCTGTGCTGGAGGGTCCACGTAAGTCTGGGGGTCACTGGAAATAAAATAATATTTAATTTTAAGCTTGCTTGATTAAGAAAATAATACTGGAACAATCACTATAGCAATAGTTTTTCTAGTGCTATCACAAACAGGGAAAATCTCCCGCGCGCGGTGATTATCTTAAAGGGCGTCCTCAATTCTGTACTGTAACTGCATCTATTTCATCGTAATCAATTCTGTACTGTAACTGCGTCTATTTCATTTGTAGTTATGAAAACTTTCAAGTGCCAGACACGATGAACGTTCATGGGATCTACGATACAACAGCAAGCATGAGTGTATTTACGTCACGATCTGAATATCAAAAGTATTTACAGCGAGAATCAGGCGTTTCTGGGTCCAGTTTTGGATTCTACGCTGGTGTCAAGACTGCGTGGGGAAGCTCCAAAAGTGGCGCAAAACAAACCAATCTTGCCATCTTTGATATCGATGTGGACAGGTAAACAGATTATTCTTTGTTTTTACGCTACGCCACTCTCTTTGTTCATACTACCAAAATGACCGCTAGTCTTTGTTGTTTTATTCTCTTGAGTATGCTTGGAAACGATCGATAGCAAATGTTAGAGTAACACCCTATTCGCCTCCCAAGAATTGTTGCATTTGGGTCTAGTTTCTATACATTTCATTGTGTTCACCAAGATGCCTTGACTTAAAACAATTATCTGAAAGCACTCTAATATCAGCAGTTAACTAATGCATTATAAATCTGACTAATTTGCATTTCCTTAAGATACGAAATCTTTAAAGACGAGGTAAAGCCACAAGATCTGAGCAGAAACTTCCTAAGGGAATTCGTTGGTCTCCATATGCATTACTTCACACCTGGTGCTCCAGCAAAATTCCGTGAGTTCTTCGCGATGTTTCAACAACACTTTTATAGACCATATGAAAAACGAGTGTAAGACTGGGAACGAGCCCCACGAACAATTAATGATTTCAAAAATATATTTTCATCACGAAAAAGACTGTCTAAATTAGCAATTTTGGGAGATTTCTGCTATCATACATTTAATCCCTGAAGAGTTATGTGCATTGAAATGTACCGAAAACATGATAGCGAGGCTGGTAGGCCCTTGGTTGTTTCCATACAAACCTTTCTAATTTCAACCAGCTGTAGCTTTTTATTATTTAATGTTACTACACTAAAATTTTGGAAGATCACTAATTTCGATATACTCTTTCTAATGAAAGCTTTGTTGTCTTCTATAACTGATGAAGTAAGGTGTCTCAAAGGATACGGCCTTTTTCATATGGTCTATTACACTATTGCGTTATAGCTAGCCCTGTAATGGAATTTACCTCTAGAATACTAGCTAAATTTTGGTTTCCTTTTGCTGTTCAGGACATTCAGTTTTCCATGCATAGTTTTGACCGCGCACGATAAAGTTGTTTTGAATTTCACGTTAATGGCTTCATAAAGGAACCAATATCTAGGGATTTGAAATTATTTGTGAAAGAAATATAGAAAGTAGGCACTAAAAAGGTGATATTTTCTCTATGTAAATTCACAGAGGACTTCATTCTTCGGTGGGGAACTCACTACATCAAGTCTGCCAGGTTTGGTGGTCAGCTGGAACTACGGAAGACACAGTTAGCAAGCATGACCGCCAGCAAAGAAGAATTCTCTCGAGAAAGTGAAATGGAATTTAAAACTCTTTTTTCGAGCGTAAGCAAAAGGACGAGCGTCAAATCTGACAGCTCGTCCAAGTCACAGCAAAACTACATGTCAACATCTATGGTTGTGCAAGGGGGAAGTCAGAGAATAGCAGCTGCAATATCCGATATGTACTCACCAACATTTAAGCCTGAATTTGTGGTAAATATTATGCTATTTGATTATATAGTTAAGTATTTGTTTGCCTTTAAACATTATATTTATTAGAGTGGAATATGGTACCTTAATGAAACAGCGCGCAAGTTTTACAGTTTTAATATTCAGTTTTCGTTTACTGTCCAAAACTGAAGCATTTCATTGGTTAAAATAATCACGTGATTTTGGTATACCTGGCGACATCAAGCACATAAAACGAGTGTGTCATTAACAGTAAGTGTGTCATTAACATAATCAAAAATCAATACCTGATCAAGCACGAAAATTGGAGGTTGATCCCCAAAGGTAAAAACAGCTGATGAAACGTGTATGTTTTAAATAGTTTGAAGACCGACAACACAGCTTTGGTTTATAGGAGTGACGTTAGCTTGTGCTGTGTAGCTTTGCGAATAAATATGAGATATTATCTAAAATCAAGTTTAATACTAGTAGTTAATGAAAGACGTTTTAGTGCAGTTTACATCCCATAAAGTAGAGAGGTTAACTTATATTTCAATACTAAAGACACTTTATGACATTTATAACATTTTACAAGGAATGGTTACAGAGTATTCCCGACTACCCCAAAGCCTTCAAGTTCCTCATGTCATCTATCACTGATCTGGTGGATTTTCGTGCCAACGACTTGTTTCCAGAGGAAAACATAGACTGGGGTTGCGAAAAGAATAAATTGAATCTTACACTGGACGAGATATCTCAAAAAAGTTACTATGTTGGCAACAACAACAAACGTGTTTACTGTGAGTTTGCCAGTCGGGAGGAGATGGACTATAGCTTGAAACGCAAACGTATGAGTTTGAAATGGGCGATTGAAGTGTACATGGAAGAGGTAAGATTAGTTAATGAGATTGCCAAACGTGTTTTCCAAAAAGCATTAATCCTATGCATATTCCGCCCGCGTTCAATCCTTGATGATCAGGAGAAGGGGTAAGGGCAAACGGACATCAAGGACAATAAAAGGAAAAGTATCCTTTAGTCGAAGGTTTCGGGACAAAGAATGGTTCAACTTTAAGCAATATGTTGTCTCATAGTTAAATCAATAGCGCTAGGGAAAAAATTGTTGTTTTTTTAGCCGTTAGACTCTGTTATTTTGGCCGTTAGAAACTGTTTAAACTGTTACTTATCTGTTCTGTAATGTGCTGGCTCGACTTTTTAAGTTTTCCCGCCGTCTATATACGCCAACAATACTGTTGTGACCAACGGTCCAATCGTACGTAACGAACTACTGTATCCTATACCTGCCTCGTGTTCGTTTACATAAGCGTACGCGTCGGTTAATAAGTTAATAAGTTAATCCAAATCCCCTGAATAACCTGAGGTAGATGGTTAGGAATGTCGGCAAACTACAAAAGACTGTGTCTTTGTTTGACTGTTTTTATATCACGTGACCTTGACCTTAATAATAATAATAATAATAATAAAACTTTATTTAAAGAGGGGACACACAACAGTTACAATAAAACACATCGTACTAAAAACCCAGTGGCCCTCTGAAAATTAAAACTATAAAAAACTAAGAAATACTAAAAAATACATAATCGAAAAAAAAAAAAAA